CAAAAAACTTGTTTCTGTAGTAGAGTATTGGATAGTCAGACAAACATCATGTGCCACAAGAAAGTTAAAATAATCGCCGTTTTATTACAAATAATATAACTGGAGCCCAACCGGATGCTTTTACTTAAAGGTTTCAAAACTGAGTCCATTAACCTTGGCGAGCAAGTAAAACGCATACAAGCTAACCCAGCATATCTCCACAAGATCATAAACTTTTAAAAGAATAGGTCCATATCCTAGAAGAACCTAACGTTGAAAATCTCACTCACTCAGATATGTCGAAAATCTTTAGTGCTAACTTCACAAGTCATTTACATCAAGAAGCTGAAAGCTCTAGAAAGTCCTTTTCTCTAGTGCCAGCTGATGTCCTATGGAATATTCAACCACCTTCCAAATCAATAGTTAGGGAACTAAAAATCTCGCACTCAAGAAAGTCACGAGGATGCAACACCATGCACCCCATAATCCCGAAACAGTTTCCAGAAGTCATCAGTAAATCGGTATGTGAGTTGTTCGTGCACTGACTTGAGTCTCGGAATATGAATAAGCCACCATCTTCAATCTTTAACAAAGAAGGTAGGATTGATCAAGCCTGTTCCATTACACCCGATACTACCAAAGGTAAATAAAGAACTGGTTAACGACAGAACGGGGGCATTTAGACAAGTACAAAGACCTCTTGAAGCACAACATAGGTTTTAGAATGGCAGGTCTTACACGTCAAATCTCATAGCGTAAAACCCTCTGAGGCCGAATTATACCACCCACGTAATTTTCCTCCAGTTCGCGAAAGCGGTTGGCACGGCACAAAACACAATACTTATATCGAAGAAGGGTTTCACACACCTTTCCCTGTCTTAACTCAGAACTGTCAGTACCTATGGAAACAGAGTGTGCTTAAGATGTTGGGTTTTAATACCATGAGTTTCACAGGGGAACACTGTTGAGGTACTGGTACCGTCCGAACATTTTAATGTTTGACCAAGTTTTTGATTGTTGTATTCCTCACCAACATACATGTTAATCTATTTTACACATGGAATCTTCACGAGAAACGGGAAAGGGGAAGGCCAAGAAACTGAAAACGGGCATGAAAAGGATGAATAGCAACTGGAAAAGATTGCGCAGAACAGAGTTGGATAAAAAATGCTGATTGATCACTTGTGTTCATCCACGAGGGTTAACCGGCGTACTTATAACGCGTTGCATTATATCATATATATGCAATTTGAACTTAACAATCATTTGAACTGCCTTTAACACTTTCCACTAAAACCATCATAGTCGTTATTTCTATGCGTATTTGGGTTAAAAATTTGGGTTAATACACTAGTTGCCTAAAAGACGTTGAACATAGTCAAGATAACAAAGTCACCCTATTAAAATATCCTACTCCACTGGTATATAAACTAAACTAAACGCAGTTGTTAGTCAAGCGAGCATTAGAAACGAAAACTCTGGAGTCTACTACAAAAATGAACACCAAGTGAACAAATAATTCTGAATCGCAATTTGTAATATAATTAGGCAGCTCGGGTCCACTAATACTACTAACGTCTAACATTTCAGAATCACCTAAAGAAACAATACCCATTTCCCACTAGCGAATCTACAATCAACACCAAAACCAGTTATTCATAATGGTTTCTGGATATCGTCAAAAAGCATCATTATGACTCGACAATCACGCAATATCATTGATAAAATTGATGAAACTATTAGCAAGCCCGGTCAATAAACTGACTTATAATTATCCTTGAATAGTGTTGTTTCCTCGTGATCATCCTTACTTGTTGTAAATGACTTTGTGTGCTTCTCTACAAGTTGATCATTTAATAAACATCCTGGAATCTTGTCGGTATGATTGGAGGTTTAAGCGACAGAATCATGCATGCAAGTCATCAGTATAAGCAGTCGAGAATACCTCCCGCAAACTGAGAACATCATTGTCGAATTTACCCCACCACTGGCAGAGGTGCATGCCATTATCATAGACATGAATTGGGAGTTGCACTTCCTTTAGTTGAAACTTGTGTTTTTCTTGATAATCATATAGGAAGCGCTTACAGATTATCACCTCGCAAAGATATATTTAGCCGAGAGCATCGTACAACACCATATCGACGATATTTGTGTCACATTGACTGTTTGATCCTAACATCTTATAATCACTCGAGTCCATACACATTGATTTCTATATCCTCCCAAACTTGATACTTGCAACTAACTTGCATGCACCACCAACCGGAAAGTATGAATAAAACTAGTTGATCTATTGCAAATCAGGATATTGAGTCTAGAGCAAGTCTCTCCGGGTGCACTCACATTGAACGAACTTCCGTCAGCTATTTGCCCAAAATTCACATTATCAGTATTTCCACTTATTTAATGAATTTTCGATGACGAATCATATGTATTGGTAGTACTGTTAAATGCCTTAAGAAATGACAAAGTCGGGAAAATCTCCCCATAACTAAATAAACGGAATTAACGTAATGAGCTAACTGTAACATTATTTGGTATTCTTCCTCTTCTCGGTTATTCTTCTGTTTCTCCATTTAGCATACTAGTGCAAATAAAACTGAAAAACAACACATGCGGACAACACGCCGACATTAACTGACTATCTATCTTGAACCAAAGATAATACCATTAACTACGTCGCTATAATTTTGATTGTTTTAATATTTGTGCACGCAAAGTGTTTTTACTGGCCATAAGTTAAGCTACTGACCAACGGTTACTCTTATGAATCCTAATTTGACATGTTAAATTATCTCTATACTAAATAATTCTTCATTAAGATAATCTCACCTTGTTTAACTCTTAAATAATCTTCATGTGGATCTTCACTTTAGGCGTGTTAAGAATTAAACGAAACATTTTTGAAACTACTGCATGTATTTCCCTATCAGATGCTGCCGCGTTCAGTTTCATTAATCTTTCAGTCCATCAACACTCAGAGGATTCAACTGACTCTTTCGGTGATCTCCAGCGCGCGACAATTTCGCTCGATTCCTTATCAAACCAACGTCACGTTGACTCTAATGGAGGAGGAATGTAGTGGTATTTGTTCCCAACTACATGTTGTTTGAAGTGGAGCGTATAATTACTGAGATTTACATTCAACACGTTACAGATTTAGAGAACATAAAAGACAGGGAACGCAGGAACAATTGGTCTGCATGACATGGGTTGGCCTTGCGTGTGTGGTCATTCCGTAGTCATTCTATCCCCAGCCCAAAGTGCTAAATATCATAATACTGACTATCGTGATAGGAATTCCGTAAAGACAACAATATTCTTTCTGTGTAAGACCTTTCAGATTAGATAGTCACATGACAAATCGACAATTTTGGTGTATTATACTAGAAAAGACATATTTGGTAGTACCGAACAAGACCGTAATTCTACAAAACTTTTGGTTCACTCCTCCTCCTCCTGATCCTTATTTTTGATCTTCTAGATAAATAAATTCAGTGGCGCTGGTCTGTCTGGATATTGTGAAGATATGGAGGTTCATGAAAAGAGAAAAAAATTTACTCAAACTTCGAAAGGACAATACAGTAGTAGAGGAATAATCATTGAATAACAGTTTGAAATCATTCTTTTAAAATGAAACTCCATGAACATTCAGACTTAAAATAATAAATAAATGGCGTCCTCTATGGAAATTCGCTCACAAGTGTCCCTTCAGAGCGCAGTCCAGTACTGGTAATCATATAAAGCTTGAACACCGACTAAAAATACGTCGGCAATCCTGAGCAGGTAAACGTAACTCTTCACTTTAGTAGAAGACAGCCAAGGGGAATATCTCACAAATATGGGCCTCGATACCTCAGATTATCCTTATTGCTAATAAAGAATGATCAGATGATGGCACACAAAATACTGAGTACTGCAAGTCACCTTAACATAAAAAATCTACCCAAACATCATCAACATGTTCTTTGAGGCAGCCAAAAAAACTTCACATCGAAGAGTAGAAACCCGGGCATCTCCCAACTCTTTCTCATCAAGAGTTGCCTGAATTTGGAATGCTCTCCCAGTGGATAGCTTTAAGGTGAGACTTAACAAAACCATAAATACCTAAAGATGCCACAAATATTCTGGGTTGGACAACGCTTCTGTCTGTAACGCCTTTGTAATAGAAAGATTCCAACCCAGTCAAACTAGGAGTTAGGAATGAAGGAGTTCGAGATCTGTCGAGAAGTGTTTGACCTAAGCTGGCAAACTGTTGAGAGGGATCCGCAACACAAGGTACTCAACCATGATCTGGTGCGGATACGTGACCGAGCCCCTCAAGCTAGGATGTGTCCAGAAAAACTAATGAGGTCAGTATCATTGCCGAAGACTTACTGAACTATTTGTTTTAAAGAGTTTTTAACTGCTAAGCACTCATGGACTACCGTCTCCATCTGGGACAACCTGTACCTGATGCATGCTCCATAATTTACCACGGTTATTATCAACGAATATCAGTAACTACACCATACCTCGCTTATTTTCATCTCCGTTTCCCCTTTTATTCTCATACTAAGTTTCATACTGTCTGCATTACCAGTTAACTCATTTATTTATTTCTTGAGACTCATTTTCTCTTAGCATTCTGATTTCTTTATTATTTTTCACATTGCATACAACCAACCTCCTGCCTGATAATGTACTGACTGCTGATATCAAGAAATCCTACTGACCTAAAACCAATGCACTCACACAGACTACAATGTAAACAAATCTATGAATATTTGCCAAAATGACTAGAGTTATTGCAGTTGATTTTCTAGACTATCACCGATTGTATATTAAAATATACCTGGAACCTTACAAAGACAACAAGAAGCAAGGACAAGGAAATCAAACGGTTTATATGAGCTCATCACAAGGATATTGGATATTGGATTTGTAGGAGGTTGCTTTCCAGTCAATACTTACTCGATTTGTTATGGTTTATCAATCCATTGACCTATAAGGTCGATGTACAGTTTCAACTCTTTAAGATGCCGAAGGCAAGATTCTTCAAACCAAAACGTAGTGACATCATTAGTGAGATTTCAAGTCCCACTAACGTTGTTAAACATGTACATGTTACTTACGACCAAGAGACAGGGCAGTTCCATGGGATACCTGATTACTGGAAAGAAATGATAGACAATTCGAATTTCTCAGTCGAAGACCGAAAAAATAATGCGGACAAAATTCTAAACGCTGTGACGGCTTTCAAAGAGTCTCAAAAAACTAAGTACTTGGGTTTTGAGGGCTTGGAAAGTGTTGATGAGGGTTTGGTTGTTTTTTTTGTTACACTAGTTTTTGTAGATGATGAGTTGGAAAGGAAAATGCGACTGTTTATTTTGAATCCAAAAGAAGAAAAGAACAGTACAAGTGCCGCATCATCTCATCCAAAAGTCAAGCCTGCCGTACACGTAAACGAAAGGAAAAATGGTGCTCTCACTCCTCCTGTACCTCCACCAAAGCCATCTGCCAGTGATTCAAATAAGGTTTGTAGCTTTAAATTTCAATGCTTATCATTTTGTAGCAAGCAGCCCCCTTGCTCCGCAAACGTGTTCGCAGGAAACTCACAGATGAGGAGTTCTATTCAGAATTAGGTCAGTACCACCTCAAAATCTTTTTAACTGTCAATTAATTTCCATTTGATTTGTTTTCACGATTATTTAAATCAAAATTATCAGATTTATGTATTTCGAAACTTTATTCTAGATTCCGTAATAACTCCCGGAAACCCTCGTGATGTGTATTCTATCGAAAGCGAACTTGGTACAGGGTATGTACCTATTTATTCCTTACAGTACTGTTGCTAACGTATTTTCGCTTTTGAGTTTTTAATGTTTGCAATGTGTCTGAAATAATATTTTTTTCGCGTTTCTTAGTAGACACTCGAAGACGTTAAATGTCACCAACTTCACAGTGCTCCGTAACGTTATATTTGACAAAAGTTTAGTCCACTTGCTTCTGTATGAACTATATGCAGTCTTTAGTTGAAATGTGGGCATTCGATAATAAAATAAAGTGTTTTAAACGTTAAAATAAAGCCTTTGAGTGACAGTTCAGCCGACATGTTGCTCCACTATAATCTGTCGGATTCCCATGTACTTCTTGGCCAGTCAGTTAGTCACACAACGTAGGACATGACTTACATGTGTGTCAGTTCAAGTTGCCCCACTACAATATCATAGCCATATGAAATTTTTCATACAAATCCAAGATTTATAAAAGCAGTAGCAGTAAAACAAACTAGATGTGGACTATGTAATTCGAAGAAAAAGAATGATTTCCTAGAACAAAGAATTATGAGGTTGGTAGTGGCTTACCATACGTAATATATATTCCAACCGCAATCCACAAAGATTCACTACCTTTCTAACCGATAAGTCTTCATCTTTTCTGCTCAATCATCCCGACATACACAGACACTTCTGATCAAATTCTAGTAATGTATAAATTGTCTGTGCTTCTAAAGGCCACATTTCAAAGGTATAAAGTAAAACAAGTCGAGCTACTAATTAGTATATTCATCCATTTGTTAGTAGTTGAACATCCCGTCCACGCCATAAGTGATACAAACTGTCGGAAGCCGGTCGAGCGTTTTGAATCGTTGCCGAAGTTTCGACATGCATCAGTCCACCAGGTTTGACGAAAATTCCACGACAAGCGAAGTGCTGACGCGTTTAGCTGCCCCACTACCTACCATTGATCCAGGCATTGATCTATACCTAAAGCAAAATTTTGCATTTGAGAAGAGAGAATTACATCCCAGTCACGCTTGCATTGTTGCCCATGGTGTCCTGAAAATTGCATATTTCCAGCGTCCTCACCAAGTAGAACTGTGTCATTTGTATATTTCACTCAACAAATTAGTCTGCTAAAAGGAAAGTCGGACGACTAGAGCTTTATCTCTGGTCAAATATGTTTGTTGAAGTAAAAAAAATAGGGAAAGTAAACAACTCAATTGGACACCACTTGAGGTTGATAAGTCTGTTAGTTTAAGTTCTAAATCGACCATTAGTGTTCAAGTTCAGATCCTGTACACGGTAGTTATACTTCTTTGGTATGCTTTCAATGATAGACTGCCATTAAATCTGTCGAGCAACAGAGTCAAATGCTGCCCTAGGTCCAATAAATATAACTATAGGTGGGCGTTGATCAGTATTCCTGTGTTCTGGGACTTGAGTGAATGTTTAGTCGGCACTTCGATTTCCAGGTCTGAAATTAGCCTGGTTCGTTCGGGATGGTCGGTAGCTACCGACAAACTTAACAAGACGGAGGATCTTAGGTAACTCCAATCTCTAAAATCCTACAAATAGGCCCAGATTGCCTACCCTCAGCTACGTTTAAAGATGGTGGCAAATTCTGGTCTGAAACTGGGTTATTTGGAAAATTTTGGGGAGTGGGAAGTGTCGTATCACTTTGGGGTGTAACGGTCGTCGTCCCTATCTTCAAAAAAGTCAACGTAATCTATACAACAGTTGTCAAGGTCTAAGTTTGCGTGTAGTTGCCCCCAAACTGCTTCCATCCGTCATGCTTCGCTCATTGTTCAGAACCCGCGGAAAACACTCACAAGAATGGGAGGTTTTGAAGGCGATAGCTATCAGGTATAGTTGCCTAACATCCTGAGGTCAGAAGGGTCATGTTTCTCTAGCGCAGAACAGAACTCTGTTTGGTAACTCATCTTCTACAGTCAGACTAGCATCAAAACAGCCTCAGAGATGGCCCAAATTGGTATAGACTGCTCTGGTTTCACTATGCATAGGTTGATCGCATTTATTACCCTAACTCTCAAACCTACCCAGAAGATACGTAAATTTTTCTATTATTTCAAATTGTTTACTATAAAACGTTAGTATGAAAAGCGGCTTCTCCCTGACTTGCCGAAATACTTTGCTTTTCTGAAGTGATAAATGTATTATGAAATTTTGGACGCACTGCAGAATGATTAAATGCAATTTGGATAATGGGTGCGTCATCGTATAGTATTAAAATATATCATCTGCCTTCACCATAGGTGACGTAAGTTGACAAAAGCCAATCGAGCTTTTCGAATCTGTGCTGAAATTTCGTCAGACACCAATCCATTAGGGCTGATCAGACTTCCAACATAAGTGAGGTTGTCAACGCGTTCGACTACTTCACTCCCTATCCTTAGTTTAGGTGTTGACGCAGACCAGTCCTGAAGCAACAACTTGCATTTAGAGGGAGAGAAGCGCATTCCAAACATTCTGGCATTGTTGCTTAGTGCTACCAGAAGACTCTGCATTTTGTCAGCGTCTTCACCAAACAGGACTATGTCATCTGCGTATTCTAAGTTGGTCAGTGGACCTCCTGGAAGGAGATCAATACCTGAGAATTCAGTCGACGAGAGTGTTATTTCCATCAATAGGTCTATGATGAAGCTAAACGAAAGTGGAGAAAGTGGACAGCCTTGACGGACACCACTTGAGGTTGCAAAAGTAGATGACAGTTCGCCATAAGCCCTGACTCGACTAGTAGTGTTCGAGTAAAGAGCCTTCACAAGGTTTATGTACTTCTGAGGTACGCCTTTCAATGACAGACACAGACAGACAGAATCTGATGAATGGTGAATATGTGGTCGATGCAGCCACGACCGGGTCTAAAGCCAGCTTGGTTCTCTCGTGTTTGCAGTTCACAAGTCTCGGTTAGGCGTCCGATAATTATTGAGACTAGTATTTTAGGTGATATGCTAGTCAAATTATTCCCACCATGGTTATCACAACATGACTTTGATCCCTTCTTATATATTGGGAAAACCAGTGATCAGCCTCGTTTTCAGAACTACCTAAGTGTGACCTCAGTTTTTCCTGGAATCTACTTTTGTCTTCCTCGTCAATGAGTTCGACTATAATGCGTTTTATTGATGTGGTTTTCCTGCTTCCAGAGAGGCGCAAGCGAACGCGTGCTCGTATTAGAGCATGATTGGAGTTCAAATAGGTATTTCAGAACGAGCAACAGTCTTCTACCGAGCCTCTCCAGTGATGATCGATGGCAATATGGTCTATTTGAGTTCATCGTTGGTTTGGTGCAGGGTGTCGCCATGTTTGACGATGTCTCTCCTTATGCCTAAAGTTGGCGCTTGCTAAAAGTAAGCGATTGTATGAGCAGAGTTGCAGCAGACGATCACCATTATTTGTTCGCTGTTCCGGAATACTAAAATACCCACCTAAATGCTTTTCTGTTTGGCTTAAACTACCTATCTAGGCATTAAAGTCACCAGCTACGAGTACTATGTCTGATCGTTTAGCTTTCTGAAGAAGTTCAGAGAGCTTTCTGTAAAATTCATCTTTCACTTCATCCGAGCTGCAGTCGGTGGGAGCGTAGGCAGAAACGACAGAAAGGCAACGACGTGTGTCCCTATCATTCCGAGTTCTTACATAGCCGTTTAGCCGAACAGCACATAGACGACTGTTAACGGGGATCCATTCTAATAGTGCTTGTTCTGACCTCGTATTTAGTGCTATTCGTACACCTGCCAGTCCGCGAGAACTAGCCATCGGGTCGCCAGATACACGGGGGGTGTATCTCGTCAGCTCTCCGTTTTGGCGAGGTGAGGTCAAGTGAATAACCACATAAGAATCCTGTATGCGTGTTTCGGAGACACAGCATACATCAATGGTACGAAATTCCGAGGTTTTAGCGAAGGAGGCCTGCTGACCGATTTGACATAGGGTGCGTATGTTGAAGGCTCCAATGTGTAGTTTGGAGCGGGATTATTTTAGTAGGCCAGGGAGAGTGTTTTGCGCACTAGAATCGTTGGCTATGGTGACATTTGAGGAGGATGTTTAGCGTTGAAAGTCGATGTAGGAGGAATAATAGGAATTGAAGTGGGAGGTTGATTATGAATACAGTGGTGTTGAGTACTGTTGGAGGTATGAGGGCGGTTATCACTTCCCGGTTGGCCACATCGTGGAAGTGTTCTTCTGGAGGTACCTGAGAAGGAAATTGAATTAGAGGTGGTCTTAGTGACCTGAGAGCGTGACCGCGGTGCCTAAGGGACAACTGCTTGAGGTTGGTCACACACGACCTTTTTGTGAGTAATCTTCGTGTTAGTTCTGTACTTGTTGGGACCGTACCGCTGGAGACGGATCTCCGTGGGATAAGGCGAGGTGTGCAGTTTTAGGGTCGACCTTTTCTAACCCCACTCCTACTTGTTTGAAGGCAACAGCGCTATCATGCTGGTTGTCTGAAGGGAACATCTTACTGCTGTCACACCTCTGTACAGTCAGCAGTACAACTTCGCTGTCGGACCTTGGGTTTACTGCTTTTAGACTAACCGCTCTTCAACCGACCTGTCTGACATGGTAGGACCTTGAGGAACAGTTGTTCCAGCCAGTATAGCTCGGTTGCTTCAATACGATAGGCAAGCCCGACCTCCACGTTAAGGTAGCAACAACGGTCGAGCCAGCATTAATTTAGTCATTTATTCATCAGTCTACTTCCTACTTGTTCTTCAAATCTATTTTTTAAATCTTATTAACGACAGAAGCTTAACTACGGTGTTCAATTTCTTTATATTATGTTAACTTTTCCACTTGTGGTTCCAATGACTAATTCGAAACAAGCACTCAGCAACTGCATGAAATTTAACCTAAAGCAATACTTCTAAATTTTGAGTATTTGAGCATTACAATTTGTGCGACCTGTGCTTCTCAAACCCCGCTAAGTCACTACAGTCTGGGTCCATCGAAATCTGGTCCCCCGGGGATATTCCTTAAGATCTTATGTCCAACTAGTTGAGTTTGAAGTACGGTA